CAATCTAACACTGTTATACACATTGTTGTACATTCTGCCCATAATAGCATTAATGAATCTTTACTCCTTTCTTATGTTACACACCTTTTTGAACTCTGGTTAAAATATATTATTCTCTCAGAATAATAATGTTCTTTTGATGTTTGTCTCCATGATAAATAATTTGATGCCTCATACTCAACAATTTGAATCAATATTAATAAATCTAATGATATAAGAAATTTTCACAATTTGTATTTTCTAACCCAAGAATTCAAAACAAATCTAACTCAAATTTAGTATTGTAAGTCCAAGTCTGAAGATTTTTAATTAAAATAGAAAAAAACGGCCTGACGATCTTGTCTAGGTAAAAGGACTATGCCAGTTTAAATTATCTTCTGAGGTCAATGTTAAAGATGAGGCTTGTTTATGGGATTGCAGAAACAGGTTGGGGATTTGGGTGAGATCACTAATCTGGGGAAAAAATAGTTGATCTTCATGCTCTGTCAGCCCAAATGTCAGTCTTGGAAACATTTTCATGCCTCTCACAATGAAACGCATACTGTCACTGAGCCAGTATGGGAATTTAACCGCTGATACCAGACAGGGAAGATGGAAATCTGAAGCAGAAAATGAAGATGTATGTAACATCATTACACAAACTAATTTCCCCTGAGTTCCAATCATAGGAAGAAGTACGTCTCTGTGGTTTATATACATATCCTAAGTCAGATTGGGTGCTTTAAGTATATTTATCTTAGTGAAAATGCTGGCTTCTTGTCAATAAAACTTAGAATATGAAAAAGAGCTTTTAAAATAACAGGGCATTGGAATACTAAACATTTTTAGAGATTAAGTACTGTAATTTCCTATTCCTGACTGATAACTCCTTCAAATACCAATATGTACAGTGTACTATGAATATGTATGTATGTATGTGCAGACTTATGTGTATACACTCAAGTGCATATGCATATACACTTATGTGTTTGTGTGTGTGTGTGTGTGTGTGTGTATGTGAATACCTAGAGAAATGTATGTAGATATCACTATTTAACAGAGTGCAAATTAAGGGAAATTATATCAAAATATCATGGAGGATTCTCATCTCATTGCAGCATGACTTTACTTGAAATCCTGGAAAAGGATATGTCAGAACTAAATTTATTTAAAATTGCCAATTCAAGAATTCCTAGAGATAATTTTTTTTCTGTAGAAAATAATATGATATCATTTTAAAGTCAAAATTATCCTTACAAAGGTCAAACCGATACATTTGTTTTAACCTATTTTTCCTTTTATCAGATGGAATTAATTAGTAATAACTTTAATCTTTCATTGCACACTCTCTCTTTTCTTTTTCTTCTTTCACTGTCTTCCTCTTGTATCATGAATTGGCTATGATTCCTCTCTCAGGGATATCTGTTAATAAAATCTAGGAGTCTACCGTATTCTGTTTTCATTTATATATTTTATGATCATAAGCAAAACATACTAATACTCTGAATTTCATTTTCCAACTATTTTAAATGTGGAATAATAATACATCTCTTGTTTATGATAAGGCATACCCAAAGTAACAAAATATAAACTAAATTAAATATTTATATAATTAAAATTTTAGAAATAAATTATCTGTTTTAAGTCTTTATGATTTATTATGTACAGTTTTGATATTTAATAAATCTTTTCTACCACTAATTTTAATTTCAGTGAGTTATAATATTGTCAATAGCAGAACCCTTTTATATCTATGAATTGACCTAATTTTTCCTCGAATATTTCTCTACATTTCCCCCTTTCTCTCCCTTTGCTATTTGAACTTTTCATATACATTTTAGATTACCCTAGTTAGCATAAACTGTGATTTTGCTATTCTTATCTATTCAACAAAAGTAGAGCAAATTAATATTAATTAAATTCTCATCCTATTTTTCAAGACAGGGGGTCTTTTAAATAAATTTTTATGGTTGGCCTACTTACTTTCAAATTGTAAAATTTAGTAAAGTTTACTGATGAATCAAAACATGTTTCTTTTTCTTTAACTCTCCTTTCCCCAGCATACATGCCACTTTCATGATAGGGCCTTTTTGCAAGTCAAAGTGCATTCTGTGAATGTAACCCATGTCATGGCCCTCTGCTCACCTGGGGCTATGCTTTGTGTTCTATTCTCATTATTTTTAACAAGCTCTCAGAAAAGTTCATTTGTCCATGAGGCCATGGAGATGCCCCAGTGTTTTAGGTATACTGTATAGTTACTTTAGGCTTGTTACTCCTTCTAACGCTGAAAGAAACTTTAGAGCATTACTATTTCTACTTATCTTAAAAACCTATAGTGAGCCTGTCTTTTTGTCATTAGTTGACTTACTTTCAACATAAGTCAAAGGAAAATACTTTTTAATAAAGCTGAAATTATGTCAGCAGGTTGACTTGTTATATTTGAATTTGTTTAGTAGCTTTCAAAAATAATCAGAATTTTCTTGAAAGTTCATTAATCTGAGGGAAAAATAACAAAATTATTCCTTGCACAAAAAAATGAATTTTAAGAAGATGTTTGTCACAATATCAGGTGGAGAGATCTTTTTGCTAATAGTTGATTTCAATTTGCTAAGGTCCCATTTTTTTATTTGGCCTTCCAGTTACAATTTCAAAATAAATTATTTTTGTTTAGGCTTTGCTTTCCAACATGCTAACCAGTAACTACATATGGCTATTAAAATTAAAACAAAATTTAATTAAAATTTAATTCCTTAATAGTGCTACCATATTTCAACTACTCAGTAGCCACATGGTCCTAGTGGCTACCATTTTGGATATCACAGATTATAGAATGTCTATCAATGACCAAAAATCATATAGCTAATAGGGGTATCCATTCTGATACACAATTTATAAATTAAGGTGATAAGCCTCACATTTCTATAAGTAGTCTAATATTATAAAGCATCTCCAAAAACATTTAATGCTGATATATCTACTCTATAATTAGTGCTTATCTTCCCAATATTGCTTCTATAAGAATTATGTCATCATTCACATATTTCAATTGAAGAAATTAAAAATCAGAAGGATTAAGTAGGAGGTAGCATATTTAGGAAGAGTTTAGCACAAAACTGTGATCTGTATCTTTCTCACTTCCACATATACTTTTCATTTCATGAGATAAGGAGATGGACTGTAGGGTTCTGACCTATAAAAGCTTATTTATGGATATTCTAACCCTTCTCTAATTTTACCTCATATACTCAGACAAATATGTCTTTTACTTGAATAATTCACTCAAGAGATTTGTAGCCTTCAATTTCTGAACTTATTTGTTATGGTTTGGATAGAAATGTCCCCCAAAAACTCATGTGTTGAAGGCTTGTTTGTCAGTATAGCAATGTTCAGAGGTGAGGCTTTCAGGAAATGATTGGATCTTGAAGGTTCTAAACTTGTCAGAGGATTTATCCATTTGATGATTTAATAATTCAACAGACTATTTGGAGGTAATGGAAACTGTAGGAGGTGGGACCTAATTGGAGGAAGTATGTTTCTAGGGACATGCCCTCTAAGGGTATTTTATGAGCAGACTTTTTTTACACTCTTCTGCCATATTGTTCTGTATTGCTTCAGGCCAAAACAATAAAGCCCAAAGATCATGGAATTAAAGATGTGAAATTATAAGACAAAATAAATCCTTCCTCCTCTAAATTGTTTTCTTTGGGAAGGTGGTTTAGCCACAATGACAAAAGGCTGATTAATACAGTACATATAAACAAATATGTATCTTTATAATATACATTGTCATTTGTTGATCAGTTTTCTCATAATATACATACTACAGGCCTAAAACCTTAAGATAATACATGTCAGAATATCATATTTATGTATTCTTTGAATACTTTAAAACAGTCATGTCAATCATAGTCTTACATTAAGTAAACAGAGAATATTTATAAATTTTAAAAATCCTCTCATTATATCAGTATGAAAGCTGTACACTTGTTTTTTTATATGTATTTTCCAAGAACAATAAAGTAAATTCTAGTATTTCACATACCCAAATCTGAGGTTTCTACTATTGTCTATTGATAATTTTTAGTAATTTCCCATGTACTTAGTAAATGTGGCCCTTCTGTACCTACATTGAAGGATACCACATATTCTACTATTCTTCCCCTCCCCAGGCTGAAATCTAGTCAAAACTGAATCTTTGGGGCTAAATGGAAAAATTACGTTTTGTATTAATTGAATAATGTGTCTTCAAGGAATTGAAACAAAATGAAAATATTTTAATAGTAAATTTTCTAAAATTTAATTTTACTTTAATGATTCAAAAGATACTTAAAGATCTTACGTTAACTTGAAATCACATCAAAAATGTCTCATTAATCTATACATATTCAGAAATGCTGGTGATAAAAATGTTTTATTCACCCCTCATACAGATGATTTGACATCTTTTCAAATGACAAGATATAGTTCCTATCTAACATAACCAAAAAATTTTTTTGATAGTTTTGTTGATTCATTCTTAATGCTTTGATTTGCTTATTTTGGTCAAATTTCTGGCAGAGTCATGACTATACAGATTAAAATTAAGCTATTGGGCAAGCTTAAGTAGCCGAGCTTAATTCCTTGTCTAACCTCTATAATTATTTAAGGAAATACAAATGTTTGGAAATGATTATAGGTACAATGAAAATTAATAAGTCCCTTGGGCTGGGGTTGTGGCTCAGCAGTACAGCCATTGCCTCACACATGTGAGACCCTGGGTTCGATCCTCAGCACCACATAAAAATAAATAAGTAAAATAAAGGTATTGTATTCAACTACAACTAGAATATATTTTTTTAAAAGAAAGTTAATAAATCCCATGTAACTGCACAAAGTGTATTGATGAATTTTCTCGAGTATGCTTTGCTTAAACTTTGAAAAACTGAGGCGATGACTTACTTAAAATTTGAAGTATAATAAGATCCTTTCTATCTTTTAAAAATGAAATAACATCTTCAACAAAAAGTGGTTTAAAAACGTACCTTAATTAGTTGGTAATTTTGAACTCCGTTTATTCCTATGTCAGGATCAATGGCCGCTGGGAGAGCATACCGAGAGTTTATAGCCGAATTCTCTGGAATTGAGATGTTGATAACCGTCGCTGGGAATAACGGTGCATTATCATTTATGTCTTCTATCAGAAAACGTATCTTAACCAGTCTAAATATTTCATCCGGCAAAACAGCAACCTCCACTTCGTAAAAGCAATGGGCATCCATCATGATACCAGCACATAATTTCTCACGATCAATGCGAGCGCCAGTAGTGAAGATCTCACCAGTACCCTCTTCAATACGAATCAGTGGCACATCCCCTGTCTTGTACACGAGCTTGAACTGCATTGGAGACGTTAAGGACTTGTCGGGAATTAGCGACAAATTGAGGTCTTTCAACAAGTCGCCTATCAGGACGTTTTCTGGCATTTCTTCTCGGACGGTGTAATTTTTCTCCTGGGCGCCAGACTGAAACACGACGCATGCTAACAGGACCGCAAATATATACGTCCCGGACAACAAGTCCATACCAGGCACGATTGTGATGGTTCTCTGTATCAACCCACAGAAAACTGACAAATAGAAAAGACAGGAGAGAGAGGGGAGAGAGGGGAGACAGGGGAGAGAGGGGAGAGAGGGGAAAGGGAGGGGAGAGAGGGGAGAGAGAGGGGAGAGAGGGGGGAGAGGGAGAGGGAGGAAGAAGAAGAAGAG